AGTTGTGTGGTGATAAGTAATAAACGAGCAGTGTCAATCGAGAGCTCTCGTGTCGTCTGTGTTTACCTCCACAACATATATATATACACATATACATATATCACTGACTTTCAGCTTGTTGTGTTTGTGGATATATGACTGACTTTAATTATTAAACATTCGCACATAAATAAGTGACGTCATATTCAGTACTTTTGACAGTTCACTCTTCGGCCGCTCCATCTTATTAGGGAAATTCCACATACATAAATGTAAATTTCAAAACTCAACCCCATCATTTAATTTGTTTTTGATTGAAATTGAATATTACTTAAACTCTCTTAAATTAACTTCCAATAAAAAAGGTTTATCATTGATTGAAGTTCATTCAGAAATGTTTAAGGAATGAGCTGTCACAACTTTCAAGCACAAAGTTGTTATGAAGTCTGTCACATTCCCCCCCACCCCCCCTTTTTTTCTTTTTTTATCCTTTATTTATTTATCCTTCTTATTTCATTGTACTGTATATTGTTACTCTTATTTGCCTTGTATGTCTACTGTACAAACTGAACTGGAATCCGTATTTTGTGGCAAAATTATCCACACCCACCGCCGCGCTATGAATTGTGGGATATATGGGACCACGAAGCGTGCACCGGACCACGCTTGATATTTGGGTAAATCAACGGCGCATTAGGAGTATGCATTTGAAGTACACTTCGAATTGGGACAGCCGTCGTCGCGTGGCGGTGATGTAACCGCACTTGAAATGCGTACTTCAAGCGTGCAGACCCTGAATTGGGACACAGCCAGGGTCTGCTGCCTCAAAGGCTGCATTTTAAGGCTGATTACGTCACAGTGACGAGACAGAGGCTGTCCCAATTCGAAGGTTGCTCAAAATGCGGCCCTCAAATGAGTCTTTCATTTCCCTGAATTTTAAGGATGGGTCGGTGTATCCTTCAAACATATCCCAGACTTCATAGCGCGGCGATGGGTGTGGATAATTTTGCAGAAAAAAAAGCGGACAGCTGAAGCGGGGCAGCCGAAGAGTAAACTTTTAAAAGTAAATACTGAATTGTGTCACTTATTTACATGCAAACGTTTAATAACAAAGAACATTAAATCATTACTGTTGGCCACAGGTCAGCAAAGTTTCAAACATTAGCGATGTTAGTACCAACTTTGTTTTAAAGCCTTTACTTTAAAATATACGCCGTTCAAT